GACAGGAACTGTGAAGTTTCTTACCTCTAAGATCAGCAGTGAGGTAAGCGCTGGAGTAAGTTGTTCTTACATGTCTGGCATTCAGGATTCTTCAGGCGTCACTGTTCACACATGATTTCTTCAGGTATACCAACTCTTCCTTGAGACCAAATGCTTGAACATCTTGAGTCTGAGGGTACAGTACACATGAGAGTAAAGCATCCTTGCTATTTTGTAGCACATGGGCAAGTTCTTAGAAAACTCGTGTTATGCACTGCAGCCTATTTGCTAGAACTGGATAATCTCCATGTTGATAGAAATGCCTGTTGTATTCTGAAAGGTGAATAGAGGTTTGTTGTCTAAATCCAGAAATGAGAAGACGACTGAATCATGACTGTAGGCTAGAAAGCATGCAAAAGAAACTAGCATGTGCCATTTGAACCCAGATGTTGACTTCTTTGCTAAGTAATTCATATGGATATATTTTCCATGCACTATAAGCATTGTCCAAAATCTCTACCTTGAGAGCTGTTAGATCACTGGTGCTGCCATGTGTTCTTGCAGTAAAACTAGCTTGAAATAAATACTTTGTAACTCGCTTGAAAATTCATCACTTGATAAGGCACTGATGTCTTACTGACTTAGGCATTTTGATTGCATGCTCTGAATCTGTACTAGTTTAAAGTCCATTTTGGTGCCAGGTGGGTTTCCAACCCAGGCCAGCAGCTTCTTTGCATCTTGCAGATTAGACACCATCAAAGGCAGACTTCTTAAAAGTATGGTCCAAAACTAAGAAAGTAACCCATAGTATGCAACACAAATTAGCACACTGATTTTTTTTTTTGAAGTTGCTTTCTCGCAGTTCTGAGTGCAGTTCATACTACTTAATCCAGTCTAACTGGACTGCTATTGAAAGAAATGGACCTGCTCCATCTACTGTCTTTCTGACCCACTTTCTCACTATAGATCTAATGTAGCCAGGGCAAGTCAGGCCGGTTTCTTGACTATACAAAAAAAGACTTGCTTTAAGTGTTTGGTAGTGGTATAGTTCCTAAAAGGAATTATTATATGCCTTTGCATGTTGAGACTACCTCAGGTTAAGACTTTCTGATTACCTACTTAGATGTTGTTTTGTTGGAGGTACTTTCCTTCGCTTTCCTTTGAATCTTAGGTGGCAGTAGCAATCTATTCTATATCTTCTTGTTACCTATAGAAAAAAATACACTAGTAATACCATTAAAAAAACATAATGTGGAATCACCCTCTGTTGCTCTGTTGAGATGACGATTTAGCTTTGCCACTTACTGCCTGAATATTACTGGATGTTTTTTATTTCTTAGGCCAGATACTGTATGTTCTGTTGCATCCCAATTTTTCTGTGTTTAATTATGCCCTAATATCTCCAGGGATTGTGAATCGGGTAGACAAACCTTTGCCGGACTAATCTGCCTCCTTTGTCTTCCCACAAGCTTGTATTTTGTAAGTAAGAAATCTTCATGTGTATCCTTAATGAAACAGATTGCAAGGCTAGCAATGGACTCAGTGTACTGGAAAGTCAGTCAGTTCTCTGGGTGTTTATTGCCATTGTCTTAAGCAATGCCTTTGGCTCTTGTGTGAGCGTATGTGCCATTATTTTCACATAGTCCATGGACTGTCTGGCCCAGCCTTGTCAGTTTTTGCATTGGACATGGTAGAACTCTGCAGCGGGCTTTAGGAGCCCTATTATTCATAAAAGACTGACATGGATTGCAACTGTTGCTGGATATACTCAGTGTTATTGATTCTTGTAGTCTTTTGAAACTTATGCCTCCTGGCAGTTGACTATAAAGGTAATTTTCGTAGTTGAACAGACAACTGAAAGTTTTCCTAGTTTTGGTGTTTATTTACTGGCTAAAGAAGACTTTGAAGGTTTTTTTTCAGAAAGGACTTATAAAAAGAGCAAACTCATGCCAGAATGTTGTATTGTTGGTATTTACTACTTATGATTTTGGGTTGTAGCTCATAGTATTCTTTTATGATGCATCTTCTGTTATGTATTCCTAGGATTAAAAATCCTAGCAAGTTAGTCTTACATGGAAAGAACAGTTTACGTTTTTTTTCATGTAAAGAACTAATCCGATTGGGATTATCTCACAACCATTTACTTTTGGTCTTTTTTTTTTTTAACATAACTGTTCATTTGTCGTGTTTGAGGCACTAACAAAAAGAATTAAATACACTTTGCGTTTTTATGACATTTTCCTTCCCATTCATGGGTGGCACAGAATGACAGGGCCAAGGAGCTCAGGTAGCTGGTACCTGGATACTCCAGGTGGATATGAGTGAGTAAACCTTAAAGCTGGAATTATCTTCTCATTTGTGAGGAGGGGAAATTTAAAAAGGAACGAGGTTTTCAGAGAGGCAGATTAATATTTTTTTGTGAAGAAATATGGGCAAATCTTTGTCTCAAAACAAGAATTGTACTGCCCTTTTGCAGTGTTACATCTGAAATCATGTAAATGTGTTGTTCTGAGAAAATATTCTGTAGTAGTTTGAAAAAACAAATTAGTTCTTCATATTTAGATGTTTACTGGTCACTTTACAAGTGGTTTTGTGAAAGGCTTAATACAATGGTTTGATCTCAGGAAAGACGTAGTCGGGATTTTTGTTTTGGGACTTGCCCTGTCCTGGAAACTGCGTTTGTTCAAGAGCAGTTCTTTCCCCAGCTACAATTAGTCACAAAACTGGCCTTTGAGTTGTGTGGGCATCTTTGCCTCAACAGCTGTTTCCCAGTTTGCAGAAGGGAGGTTGCTGTGTACTGCCATTATGGTTATGTTGTAGGTGCAGAGTTTGTGCTGGCTTGTGCTCTTCCCAGACACTTTAGTCTTCAGTTTTGTTTGTTCATCATTAAGGAGAATTTTTTTTTCTGGACAGCAGACAAACTTGTGAATTATAGATTGTATTTTTTACTCCTTCCTCTCTCGTTGGCTGTTTGTCAGGTCATTAGCCAGAGTTTTCTGGATGTAGTGCTTCAACGTTTGCCTGGTAAAGGTGTCCTAACAGGCATCTTAAGATGCCTGTTGAAGCTATTTTAAACTGTTGTGTATTTTTTTTGATTGCTTCCTCCATTTCCTTGATCTCCCTTCTAATTTGAGGGTGTCTTCCCATGGTCATCAATATTTAATTCTTAACTTAACCACTGAGCTTTGTAAGGTGGGGGTGGGGTTGAGATAAGTCTACTAACACAAAACTCTGAATTCATTATTTAGGAGGAGAACTTGGACAAAACTTTATTCTTTTGATTCTTCCTTCACTTCTGAATCTTCAAAAACTCTAGTCGTGCTGAAGAATATACCAGTGATGCAAATAAGAGATCAGTCCTTAGTATGTGTTGCAAAGCATAACTTTTAGCACAAGATTTATGTTAATGAAGAATGGGCTAAGTGATTTTGATAGTTTAAAACAGTTCTTTAGTGGAAATTTTCATTCTGTCTCTGGTGCTTTGCAGTAATGAAAAATATATAAATGGAGTTATAAAATCTCCTCTGTTGTGGTGTACCTGCATTCTTGCCAACGTCATACTATCTTTTCAGAATTCTTAAGTCATGATCTTATCTGCGGTAACAGTTGTGAAGTTGTAGAAACTCTTGTTAGCACTGGAGTTTGACAGTTTGGGTTATGGTATCGTGTGAAACATTTTGAACAGATTTCTAATGCTAATGAGCTTTTCTGACTTACATGCTGTTTAACTGTAACCTTTTTCCATTAATATTTTGACCAAGTCCTCTTACCAGCCTCTTTAGAATTCAGTGTAATTAACATTTCCTTTTAAATGCAGTTGCTGAGATAATGAGTGGTATTTTAGGTCATTGTCTAGATCTGAAGTTTTTGAAAATGCAGTGCAATACGTCCTACAGAGCATCCATGGAATGATCTTTCTGGCAGAAGTGCTGCTGAAATGTTCCAATAGTTAAGATCGCAAAACTTCCTTTACTAGGTATTCTCAGATTCCAAATATTGAACTTTACTGCCTAGTTGTGTGTAGCTACATCACACAGTGGCACAGCTTTCAGACATAAACTTTCTAGGTTATTTTTGTTTTAACTACCATAGATTAAATATACAGATCAAGGTGCATGCTGCTTCTGCAGACATGAGAACTTCTTGTTTTCTTGAGCAAATTGATTCTGGGTACTGTGTAATGTTCTTGATCTATGTATCCCAAATAGTAACCTTTCTCTACTTGGTTACCTTGGGGATTGCTTTGCATGGGCTCTTGAGATGTGAATTTGATTTTTTTCATCTTAGTGTGTTTTCACAGCTTTGTGGCCCAGGAGGGTTACTTCGATTGTTTTCTGACAGTGTTCATTGTGGGAAGATGCTGTCTGTCCAGGGAAGTTCAGTGGAATTTTGCAATTCTGTGCTGGGAATGACTGGATGTGGAAGACTAAAAAAAAAATAAAACAAAACAAAAAAAACCCCAGCAACACCCCTCCAACAAACAAAAACCCAAAACCCCACAACAAAACCTCTATTTATTATTTTATAAATAGTAAACATTTTTTTGGAAACTATATAAGTGTATTAGTTATGTCTGTTCCAAAAGTGACAGAGTTTAGTGAAAAATTCAAGGCAGTGCTTTCTCATCAACCTTTTAATTCTTTGTAATAATTGTTGTCTAATTCCATTGGCTAACTCTGTGGGATTTTTTTAACACAGTTTTTTCTCTGTCCTTCCTTGTCAAATTTCTCAAGTTGAGAGATCATAGTCTGAGATACCCAGTGATCTTTCAACACAAACTGTTGTAGGAGAGTGAAGTAGAATGGTTTTCTCTAGTTGAGACTCTGTAAAGTTTAGAAATTACTTTTATCATGACAAATTGGATAGTTTTCAGTAATGACAGATACATAATTTTGCTGGAAAATAGAAAGTGAAGTTTTGCTAGTTACTTGAAATAAAAAAGTAGAAACTAGTGAACAAGATTTTTTTTCAAGACACTACTGATTGCTCTGACCTCAAACAAAATTTGTTTTGTTTTTCAGATTTTGGATCACTCTTTGATCTGGAACATGACTTGCCAGATGAACTGATCAGCTCCACAGAACTGGGACTCACCAATGGTGGTGATATTAATCAGCTGCAGACGACCCTTGGCCTGGCACAAGATGCTGCCTCTAAACACAAGCAGCTGTCTGAACTTTTACGGGCTGGTAGCTCCTCAAATCTCAATATGGGGGTTGGTGGCCCTGGCCAGGGCATGGCCAGTCAAACCCAACAAAATAGTCCTGGAATGGGAATGTTAAACAGCATGGTGAAAAGCCCCATGGCACAGGCTGGGTTGACTTCTCCCAATATGGCGATGGGTGCAAGCGGACCAAACCAGGGTCCTTCAGCCCAGTCCACAGCAGGGATGATGCCAACAGTAAACAGTCCAGTTAACCAGCCTGGCATGGGAATGAACACAGGGATGAATGCTGGCATGAATCCTGGGATGCTGGCAGCAGGCAACGGACAGGGGATGATGCAGGGGCAAGTCATGAATGGTTCAATTGGAGCAGGCAGAGGGCGACCTAATATGCCGTACCCAAACCCAGGAATGGGTAGCGCTGGTAACTTGCTGGCTGAGACACTGCAACAAGGATCTCCACAGATGGGAGCACAGGCTGGACTGAGAGGGCCGCAGCCTGGCACCATGAACAAGGTAAGACAAGCTAAACTTGACTTTATTACCTTACTTCTTGTTGTTGACTTTGTTTTGTGAGATTTATTCCTCTGCAGTATGCATTCTATAGAAGAGGATTTTTTTCCTTGTAAGATTTTTTTCCCTGAATCATGTGGTAAATAGTTTATATGCTGCTCAAGTGGAATTTGTGGCAGTCATGGGAGGCAAAAATTGAGTCTTGCACAACAAGCAAGACTATTGCTAGATTAAAAAGCCTATTTTAGAAATCTTGTGGCAGTATAGATTATCAACAACAATGAAAAGTAACTTGATTGTATTTTATTCTGTTTTATGCTTTGTCCACAAATGTGTTTTCCCATATAAAGTGATGTTGGTATTGTGTGATGGGAATCCATCAGAACCTTTTAGATGTTGTGGTGCTTTTTTCTGTGTGACACTTAATGATAGTATTTGTTTGAGATCAACTGAGTGTTTATGCTGTAGCTGATGCTAAGAGGCACATACAGGTTTGAATGGACTGATGTACTAAGACGTACATTGGCCTTGTTAAGAAATAGGTATCTGAGTTAATGATGGAACGTGAATGCTTGTGTAAACACCTGAAGATGAATGTTGGGTTCTTAAGACTGTTAATCCAACTCAGTTCTAGTTTTAAAATTTACAAAGACTTTGTCAGTAGGAGAGTAAACCAGAAAGCTGGAGGGAAGGAAAAAAAAAATATATATGTCTAGTAATGAGTTGATTTTGTGGTCTGGTCATTTCAGATATTTTTGCCTGATAGGAAAGTTGTTGCAACACTTGATTGCTGCAGTAGAAAATTTGTATGCAGTAGTTTACAGTGGAAAGAAATATGTAAAGACTTAGAAGCATTCTTGTGTTGGAATTGTATAATGTCTCATTCATTATTCCTTGGCTGTAAAAAACCAAACAAAACTTCAGAAAGCTGTATTCAGAGGTCAAAAATTGACATGTTGACGAATTAGATGAAATGCAACTTCTTAATCCTTATTTATCAGACCTGAAGTAGGGTTATGCACTCTAATGAACTCATTTATTTAGGAGAAGAAAAGACACAAAATGAAGCTTTTGGCTTATGTAGTCCAAAATTAAATTGTCTCTCCATTGCTTAAATTCCGAAATGTGCTCTACATCTACAGAAAGAACATTTTGTGCTTCTGGAATATTCAGACCAAATACATGATAACTTCTGGTTTTTAGTTCATAGCCCCAGACTAGAGTTCTTTAATTGCTGATAAAAAAAAACCTTGAGACGCGTAGTGTAAGTATGGTGGCTATAGCCCTCATAAAGGAGTTGAAAGTGCTGGATGAGAAAGAACAGTCTGAAATGGAGGCTGAAATTCCAGAATGTCTTCAATTGGTTTGGTTGTTGGCAGGGAGCCTGTGTTTCACTTCATGCAGTGAAGTTAGCAAAATCTGACAACAGTAATATCTGACTGTTTTATCTTTCCACCCATCTGCTTTTGTGTTTTCCCACCTACAAATCTTCAAAAAGTAGATGAAAACAGAGGACCCTAAGCAGGTGTTTTTAAAAGCCAGTTATTTTAATTGGTAAATTTAGTACTGTGTTGCTGTTAATGTGGGAGTTTGTGTAACAACTCCTGTAGGTTTCCTTCATCTCTGCAAAAAATGTGCGTTATCCAGGAGCTGCCCTTCAGTAGGAGAAAAAAAATAGAGCAGACACTTTGGTTGTGTTCAACTTCATCATGTTAGTTTGCCACAGTCAGCCCCTTTAGGTGATGGGAGGATTGTCTCTGTGTGTCCTCTCTCAGTAAAACAGATGTGTGTTGTCTGCAGTTGTTTCTATGGAGGAATAGCTTAACTTTCCTGTGATGTTAACTAATTGGGAAGGACAATGTTATGCTCTTCTAACAGTAAAGATGAGCTGTAAGGGGCTAGTCAATTTGGAAAGCAAAATTGGTTACCTTTCTGCTTTGTTCTGTTGTCCTGTGGAGTTACTGAAGCATTTTCTCTCCTCCCAAAACATTGGCTAGCAATAGAATGGAACACTTGCTTTACACATTAGCCGTGTACTTCCCAACTTTTCTAGTTGTGTGTGTTACTTTTTAGGACTCAGTCTCAAATGTCAATGTAAGTGATTGATTTGGGGTCACCTGGTATACATAAACTTGTACTGTCATAATCTGCTGCTTACATCCTGTGGTCTAATGCCATAGTTTTATGTATGATGTAAGCAGTCACTGACATACAAAGAAGCAATTCTGTCTGCATGCCATCTCTGTGCCAGCTGTATGACAGGCTGTGTTGAGGATCTAATCCAGGCTTGAAACTCACATGGTCACTTAAAAACAAAGTTTTAATTTGAATTATTTTTCTGGTCCGGTTTATATTCATCAGTTGGAAAGCTAGTGCTGATATTAGGGAGGGGACATACTAAAAGAGTTGATATTGCCAGTCAGAGGAGGGTGTGGACCCTTCTTTGGTGACAGTACCAGCTTAAAAATGCTTGCGAAAGTCTAGCCTGAAAGGAACTGTTAGAAGTTTGGAGGGGAAAGGAATTGTAACAAGTTTTGCTTTCTTGAATAGGTTTTTGTTTTGTAGGTGCTTGGTTATGTGCAAGTTAGGAGGATGACAGATGTGCCTATTACTCTTAAAATACAGTTTTGGAAATTTTGTAACACTCTGATTCTTTCAGTGTTTAAGCGTTTTTCAGGATTTTTGTTTCACTAGGTAGTTTTACAGACTTGATTAATTTAAAAGTAAACAGATGGCAAATTCAAGCTCTAATAAGAACAAATTCACGTTTCCTGTTTTGAACCATTCTTCACTTAGAACTAACTTCACTAGTTAAAGCCTTCAGTTTGCTGTTCCACAGGGTTTGGTGGAGGGTGCCCAGTTGTGGTCTTATTGTCCAGCCTTTTATTAGGGGAGGATAGTATTTTGCATATAAATTGGTGTGTGCATTTCTGTGATAGCAGTGCTCTATCACAGAGTGACTAAGTAAACCTGGCCCTCAGGTCATTTAGATTTCATCTCCCACTGATTCCAGAAATGTTCTGTTACTCAAGTAATGGAATAGATGTGAAGATAATTCAGATTAATAAAGGCATTACTACTACTTCTGCTACATATTTGACTTGCATGTGAAATTAACTTGAAATGTTTAGAGTTCCAGTGGTAGTGCTTTGTCATTTGGCTTACTGTTTGAGTATATACAGGGTTCTCTCCTATTATAATGGATACACTTAGTTTTATCAGTTTACCCTCTCAAGAAGAATTGATGGCAATATTTTACAAAGACAAATGTAATTCTTTAGAATCTCTGTAACTTCCCTTAAGCAAACAATAAGAAATTTTGGAATAATAAAGTTTTGTTCAAAGTTGAAGAGAGATTGAAGATGATGTCGCCCTCAAATTGTAAAATTAGGTAAAGAAAATAAAAGCACCGTATGTTCCTCAGTGTTAGTATATTCAGTGTAGCATTTTAGGTAGAAGGTTAGTGTTCTTGGCTGCCTTATTATTTTCATTAGCCGCTTGATTCAATGGGTAAATGTATCCATACTGTTTAGACTCTGTGACCAAGTGTACCATACAGTCAAGTACAGTAATCCATTAAAAGCGTAGTTGTGTGTTCTAGTCCTTTGCTTTTTCTTCTTTGGTGAGCCAAGGTGAAAAAATGGATAATTGCTCACTTTATCCCAGTGTAAGGGAGGAATGTTTGTTTATGAGGGAGAAATGGAACAGTGAAGACTTGTCTTTGAGTCTACGATTCTGGGGTGGATAGGGGAGTTGTTCAATACTGTTGCTGATATCTAGTTGTCTGTCAAATATTATACTGTCGGTGAAACAGTTGTTTTTGTAGAGAAACAGAATATTTGTAATGTCTATGTGCATAGCTGTAACAGGTATTCCTCCTCAATTTGTATTCTGTGGTATCAACAGTAAAACTAGAAGCGGAGTTAGTTACCTGACTTTCTTCCAAAGTGAAGATGCATATGTTTCATGGCATTACAACAAAAAATTGGGGAATTGCCTCCACTTCTGTAGTTGCTCTTCTCCGATGGAGTGAGTGTCTGAACAGCCCTATCTGATGCTGCTTGTGCTTGTGAACTAGGATGTTTCCTGAACTCATGTCATCCATGCACTTTACATGGTGAGAGGTGCACATCTTCGGTTATTCTGGTAATGACAGCCCCTGCTTCCATGAAGGCAGGAAAGTCAAGTTGATTTCCACTGTGTATGTAGAAGTTATTCTATAACTATAATCACTTTGAGATTACCTTTGGTGTCTCTTAGCCATGCATCATCATGTTTTGCTGTTTTCCTTGTTTCTTCCTCCTCCTCTTCTCCTTTACTGTGATGTGGATTTCTGTCTGCTCTTCCTTGTGTGCAAGTCCTTGCATATGTGATGAAAGTAACTTAAGGCTGTGAGGAGAGGAATAAAAACAACAGATGGGATGGATAAGAAGAGAAATGGGAAGAACACTGGAAGAAGGTGGTGGCCAGGAAGGAGTGAGTAGAGGTTGCACTTGCTGACTTGTAGCTGTGATTCAGCCATGTATGTTTTTGCATGGTATTGCAGATGAAGCCTTGTACTTGTCTCATACATTGGTACTGACACCACCTTTGGCTGCTTCTTCTGCACTCGTATCTACCCCTCACTCCCAGTAGACCATTAATATGATGATGAACCATATGACAGTCTTTCTGGATGTTTCCTTACAATAAAATTACACAGGATTATTTTTATCTTCCTTCTGTAGTCATGACATCATCCATTTCTTCCTGTTTGATTTCTTTTATTCAGGCTTCTCATCATGTCACAGCAAATGGCATAAGCATGATCCTCCTTGTGCCAGGGTCACAAGGCCACCTTGTGCTGGGTGAATATTTTCCCAAAGGACACTTCTCTTGACTCAGTCTAGAGTTGCATGCAGGTTGTTGGTGTCAGGTTAGTGGGTCTGTGATGGCAGGACCGGGCAGCAGTGCCATGAGATTCAGCTGTGGATCTGGCAGGTGTCAGTCTCACCTGGACCAAGTAATGGCTGCTGATTTGTTCCAGGAGACCTTGTGGCACTTGTTTTTTAGCATCCTTCTGAGGTGTTGCTTAAGTGTGTGCCTTTTGGAGTCATTTTGGCATGCTTGCCCTCCAACCTGGCCTGCGCTTCTCTGGTCTTTGCCTCTCTTGTACGCTGAGATGGGGAACTGAGGATTACCCCTGTTGGGAGCAGCTGGGTTGAGCTGGGCATGTAGTCTTCTGTTGCCAGGTCCCTGGTGAGTCCTGTTGGTGAGGTGGAAGATGGTTCTCATACCTAGGGAGGGTGGAGCCCTGCGTTTTTGCCATGGAGACAGCCTTGTTTGAGGGGGCTGGTTTTGCACCCCAAATAATGCCAATTGCTTATGCTTGAGAAAACATCAGAGATCTTTGTGCTAGGCCAACTTGGTTAGTATATTTGAAAAAGCCAGATGCTTCACATAAAGTTTGTGTCCAGCTGTGTTGCAGATACTAAGGTTAATTGGCATGGTCAAACCTCATCCCTGAGGTTCCTCGGAAAGCTTCTGTTTTGGACAACATAGCAAAGGTGCTTTTGCAGTCAGGACAGAGCTGGCTCATCAGGCCACAAGTTACTGTCAATCCTTTGGTATCAATGTGTCCCCAGTTGTCTGAGTTGGGCATCTTGATTTCACACCAGGGTGTGAAAATGTGTCTTCAGCCTTCAATTCTGAATTGTTTGGTGAGTTTTGGTTTTTTCAAAGGCTGATAGCAGCATAAGTTGCAGAAGTCATATGGGGGCAATGTTAGCCATGGCCAACATAGTCTGTGCTTTAGTGTAGTCTCAGGTGTCAGCTAACTTTGGGAGCTATGATTGTTAATGAACTTGAAAACTTTGCTTAGAAATTTTTGTTTTTGGGGATGTACCTGCTTTCAAAACCCTTTCTGGAGCCAAAGGGATCAGGTTTTCTTACAGGAAAACATTTCTTATTTTCTTAAGGAAGTAATTCCCACTGTTAGTCCTTCACCAAGTCTTGAAGCTGTTAATCAATTTGAGGCAGCAATGATGATGGGGAAGAGTACTGAAAGTGTGTTTGCTGATGCCTTATGTTTTTGTTCTCCCTTTCCCTTCTGCTCAACTTGCACATAAGATCTTAATTAGTCTTCTGAGGGAGAGGCAGGAAGGATTTGAGTCTTACCTGTTCTGTTTTTGGCAGCAGCTGCCTCATCTGTCACCATATATGTATTCCTCACAGTGGAGGCATGGCAGGGGTGGTGCCAAAGGAGACAAAGGAAAGGAAGCTTTTTTTGGTTCTGCCTGATCATTGCATAGTTTGTTTATCTGCCATGTGTAGAGATTTTTTTTTATTGCTCTCTAATGAATTACTGCTGTGTGATTATGGTTATTGCTTATGGCGGGGGGAGCCTGTCCTCAAGGGAATTCACTTGTACATATCGGATGTCTAAAATGGCAAGTTCTTTACTGAGCTTTGTGCTCCTTTTCCTGTAGCTTGGTTTGATCCTGCTTTATTTTGTAAATGTGAACTGAAGGCCATTATAATGCCATTATAAATGGATTGGTAGATGTTACAACCTGAAAAAGGAAAGTGTTTGACTAATCGCAGGTAACCTCTGGCCACGTAGATTTCTTTTCTGTGCAGGTTGGAAAAGCTTAGTAAGGAGCAGAAACAAGGTGTTTCTACTAGGGGAGGATGCTTTGAAAATAAGCGTGGGAGTGATTGGAAGCAAACCTACTGTAGGAGTTTGTACTTTTTTGGATGCAGGAAAATGCCCAGACTTGAACCAAAAAGCATCAAGAAGACTGAACATTGTCTAGTGAAATGCTAATGTGAGTTGAAACAATACAACTTTTTAAAGTATTTTCATGCCTTTATTATTATGAGTTACGACTCCTCTAGGATCCTGGCTGAGTAATGGTAAGAGCTTGGTAATCTTAACAAATATCTTCAGTTTTCCTGGTTGTCTTTGGCTGGTTGTTTTGGTTTTAGAAGGCCAAATTTCCCATGAGAAAACTAGATGGAAATGCAAGGAATGGATTAAAAAAAGTCAAGAGGACAAACAATTTTTTTAACAAGATTGATCCTGACTGGTCTTTGGACTCTGGAGCATTCTAAGGCAACAAATGGTACATTCTGGTATGCTAAAACTGTTGAATATGCAAATAGGTGATGCATATTGCAGAAAGAAGCATATAGCTTGTGTGAAATACAAATCTACTTCCCCTGTGGATGAATGGTTCACTAGCTTTGTTTTGTTTGCAGACTTCCTTCCTACCATCTCCTTTGACCTCTAGTACTGCTCACTGTAAATGAGTTACTGTGACTGTGTGTGGTGTTACCTATGCCCATGATATATTCTTAAATTGAAAACGGTTGTGTACTGAAAATGCAGACATGCGTTGTTAGAGCTGTCTGGAGAGGAGCTGTGGGAGTGCTGACAGTTGGGAAGGAGGTTTTGGGATAAACTGTGCTGATGTGAATGAAGGTGGTATTTGTCTCCATTTGGAGTCTGCACAGATGCAGGCAGCAGAAAAATTCTTCCAGACTTGCAAATTATATAGTCCATGGTTCAAATTTGTGATTGGGAAAGCTGAAATGAGAAATCTGTTGGACTGACCTCAAAGATTGGTAAGTTGGCCTCACTCTGCTTATAGGAACTGGTTGAGGAGTTAATGTTGTGTGATACATGAATACATGCACATATGGGAGGAGGGGAAGCGTGTGGATCGGTATTGCATTGCAGCTGGTTCATGGCTGTGATCACTCTTGCTTCTCTGAAGTATTCATTTGCTTTTACATTGTGAACTTCAGCTGTCTTACCTCAACATCTTACCGTTTTAATTCCTAGATGGGAATGATGAGCAATCCCAGCCCTTACGGCCAGCCATATAGTCAGAATACTGGGCAGCAGATTGGAACCGGTGGACTTGGGCCTCAGATGCAGAATAAAGCTGGACTGCAGAATAGCTTACCACAGTTTCCAATTAGGAATGCCTAACATGGTAAGTAGAATGAAAGGTGTCTCCAGAAAATGCTGTAGCAGACCGAAGTGGAGCAGTATGCTATTGCCGTAAGTTTTTGCAGCTGTCACACCCAGTGTGAATGTGTGCTCTGAATCCACACACAATGCATGCACTTCATCTCCTGAAAAGGCTGATATGAAGGAGAGGACTGAGTTGTGCTTTCTGTGTTGCTAAGCTGCATCTCCCCTCTTTGCCCTTCAAACACCGTTAGCAGAGAAAAAAATTAAGCTCCTTAACCAAAGTGAGTTTTGCCACCTGTTTGGACACCTCTGCTCTCCTCTCCCATTCCTTCTCTTGTGGTTGGTGTATTGGGCCCCTTTTCCTCTGTGTAGCTTTGTCTTGAGGATTGTTTTTCTGTTTGTACTCACCAATGCTTTTGGGAGAGAGAAGTATGTCTTCTCAAACAGGTATTACCTATGATAGGGCTTAGAAGCCCCAGTCATGTGTTTGTTCTGAATTACATGAACACACACAAGTCCTGATGCTGGAGGTTCCCTGGCAGTTGTTGCTGTAGTAGCCCTGTTGGTTCTCCCTCCCCACGCCCCCCTCCACTGTTACTGCAGCAGGACTTGAGGAAAGGGGAGGTGAGAGTGGTGGGAGAAGTGGATGGCCAAGAAGTGGATGGCCCAAGCTTCTAAATGACTGGCCTTAACATTAGGTTGCCTAGACTGAGCTTAACATTGGTGGCTGAATGTGTTTGCCTCATTATTTTAGAAGCTTAAATTGGTTAGGGGTATGACATGTGACATGTCCTACTTTTTTTCCCCTTACATATATTTTTTTTAATTTGGGAAACAAATTAACATTTCTGAATATAGCCTGTGTTTCTCCCTGCTTCAGATTCCAACCTTCCATGCCACCTGGGAGGGTCAATCTCTTGATCTTAGTAACTGTTGTTGAAAAACTTTTTCCAGGTAACTTTTGTAGCTTTGAATTAAAAAGAGCTCAATCCTCTGGGTTGTATTTAATATTTTTTTAAGTTGAGCATGAAACGTTGGAAGTCTAGCAAACCAGTTGGTTGTATGAACCAATAAAGAAGAAGCCAAAACTTGCTGTTCAGAACCTCGGCTGCCAAGCTTGTGCTAGTGCAAAGTATATAACTCTTTTGAAGTTGAACTGCTACGCAGCTGAACCTAGGAATGAAAATTTGCTGCTATCTCAGATGTCATTTAGAATGGTAGGCTGCAAACAAGGCACTTACAGTCATATCGGAACATACACAAACCCTGAGGGGACTGAGTATTACTCAGTGGTAAAGTCTCCTTGTAAAATGAAAGGTTAATACTAGTATTGAAGAGCTACAGGAGAACTGGGACTTAAGAGTGCAGGTACCTGAGCTGTAAAAATCTGGAGATCTCCAGAAACATTCTCCTAAACCCTCTGTGAAGAGTCTGTTAGAAACTGAAGGCTGTTGAACTGAAGTGATACAAGCAACATAGAGCCCCTGCGCCTCTTTTCTTTGCTGAGTACTCTTCAAATGTCACCTGGAAGAAATACAAAGAAGTCTGAAGAAAAACAGAAGTACAGAAGAAGTACTAGATGTTGCCATACTTTACATTAGTTCTGTGGCATGTATGATCCTGAAGTTGTGCTTCATCTCTAGTAGAGACTAGGAGATGTTTGTTTTGAATGCCTACGTTTCCCAATGGAAAAAGCTTCCCGGAACTTCCCCCTTCATTCTCCTTTTCTAGGAACAGTCAAATTGAGGCACCTTATACTGAAATAGGAGGAAAACTCTATTCACTCTAAAAGGTGCATTCTTCCGTTAATGCAAGAATTGTGGATGCAACTTTCTAGCCCCCAAAATGAGGAGGAGATTTGAGGTCTAAGTGCTTCTGGTTGGTCTGGCACTGCAAACTGTGCACTGTGAGCATGTGCAAAGTTCTGCTGGCCTTTGATAAGGCAAGAGCTAGGACTAGGAGAGTGATACTGGGGAAGAAATTGTGGCTGGCAAGAGGATTATTGCCAGGACTGTTGCTAAGGGGTGTATTTAATATGAGTCATCCAGAGCTACAGATAGATGGGCTATTCCTTTAATCACAGAATGTAGTAGTTGTTTCTCTTATCTGGTTTTTATTTTGTTGTTGTTTACTTGCTAAATAGATTATTCTCAAAAATTTATTTCTGGGAGTTTTCTTTCCACCTTCTCCAGGGCCAGCAGCAGGCTCCTCAAGTTCAGCAAGCTGGGATGGGGCCAGCAGCTTCTCAAGGAATGGGGTCTGGAGCACCGACAGCAGATCCAGAAAAACGCAAACTCATTCAGCAGCAACTAGTTCTCCTCTTACATGCTCACAAGTGTCAGAGGCGAGAACAGGCCAACGGGGAGGTGCGACAGTGTAACCTCCCTCATTGCCGAACCATGAAGAATGTCCTGAACCACATGACACATTGTCAGGCTGGCAAATCTTGCCAGGGTAAGTGGAGGAGTGGTTATATAGATGCAGTCAACATCTGCAGGATGAGAAGGGCTCCTAGAAAGAGATGGAGAGCTAGTGGGTGGCTTGGGAAGTAGAATTTTTTTTAAACTATCTGTCCCCTTAAGAATGGAAACCTTAAACTTCTTCTGAGCCTTTAAAGTTTAGGCAAGTTAGAGGGGACAAGGTAGCACAAAGAGGTGAGTGAAGATCTTTTGCTTAACTTTGTAACTCACTGTAAGATCTTTTGGATGCTGCCTTCTGATCAGGGTAGATGCAAAGTAGGTATCTGCAATTAGGAGTCTACCTGTCTCCCTTAAATGGAAGAGACAATTCCTGGCCAGCTATTGCTCAAGATTTAAGCTGCTACTGGCACTGGTGAACTCTTTGTCTATCCTAGTAGCCAAGGAAAATGTATGCTACCTTCCTGGTAGTCTAGGCTTGTCTGGGTTGAGCCAATTGCTGGCATCTCAACTGCTTGGTACAGTCTGCCTGATGTATATGGCGTTATCCTTTAAGCTGGAGGGACGTAGGCTTGGGTGTATACCATAGAGCTTTCAAGTAAGCTTTAGTTGAGCCAATACTACTTGAAGAAATCTAGCTACATCTTCAGGGCTAGTTAGTGCTGAACTATTCTGAGTAATACCTTACTGACCTGTGTTGATATGGATGTGTGCCCTGGGAGAAATAGTTGCTCCCTACCCAATTTCTGTTGACCATGTGGAGATATTGGCAGTAGTTTGTAAAAGTTTTTCATTCCCCTCCTTTTCTCAGTGGCACATTGCGCGTCTTCCCGACAAATCATCTCGCACTGGAAGAATTGTACAAGACATGACTGTCCTGTATGTTTGCCTCTCAAAAACGCTGGGGACAAAAGAAATCAACAATGTAAGTCTGCTGGGGAATTCTGCGTATTGGTACACACAGAGGCTTGTGTCATTTCAGCCTTGATGCTACTTGTTTCTGTCTTCACCCTTTGTTTGCATCAGATGTCTCTTTCCCCTTCTCTTTTTGTCCCCTTGGTCTTCCTGCCAAAATCTTCGGGAAGATTTTTGTCACAATGTTACCTGTATGTTTTGGGTTTTTTTCTAATTTGTTAATGTTAATTTGGGGTCTTCTCATGGCTGAAGTAAGCAGAGATATTTCTTGGTTTAAGAAAATAAAAAAAAAGGCATTACAGTGGCTGTTGAAGAGCTGTATGTACCCTTCTGTCTTTAGCCTCTGTGAAATGGTGTGTCTCTGTCTTCAGCTTGAAGCAAACAGATGTGTTCTAAATACTAAGAGTGGGATTTCCTCTCAGAAGCTCAAAGGGAAAACAGCATATTGTTGGAATGGCTGATTGGGTCAAAACTTGTCTCCCTGTTTCATGACAGGTTTCCCAGAACTGGCTGCTTCTCTGCATGCTCCTAGAAGGATATGTTTTGGTTCTGAACAGCCAGTGAACTCTCTTCTTTCCCTGCTTTTACAGACATCTTTGACTACCTTTTGCTGTCTTTAACTTGGTATGTCTCTTCTAGCACTGCTGGGCGGAGCTGCAGTAGGACTTGCAAATACTGGCTCCGTGGGTGTGGGGCAGCAGACAACACCCAGCATAAACACTACCAGTCAGATAGACCCCAGCTCCATTGAGAGAGCCTATGCAGCCCTTGGACTGACCTATCAAGGGAACCAAATGCAGACACAGCCTCAGCCTCCAGTGAAGAGTCAGCAACAAGGACAGTCACCCCAGGGTCTGCGCCCTATGAATCCTATGAGTAAGTTTATTTGTTAGTGTTAAAATATAAACAACAGGCAACTTTCCCATGCTATATCTAATGCAGATTTTCTTAACATACTAGGTTAATACAGCTAGTTGATTTGCAAAAAGTATGGCTTTGCAGTATTTTAGACTTGAGATAGCAAGCTACACAAGGGAGCAAGAACATTAGAAGGCCCACATGCCTTCCTGTGGAAAACAAGCTCTCTGGGAAAAGAACTTTCTTCAGAAAAATGGGGGGTGGGGGTTGTTGTGGTTGGGTTTCTTTTGAGAACCAGCTTTCCAAAGCATTTTATTTAATGTTGTTTTATAGCTTTATAACTACTGTAAGCAAGTTTTGGGCTTTTTAGTTTATTTTTAGGAGTTTATGGAAATACATGTATTGGAATGCCTGTATTCAAGTGTACTTCCCTGTCACTCAGACTGCAGCATTTTACAGTTCTATCTCAGATATGTAATGTTTGTTTGTTTTAATAGTAGTAAATAGCAAACTTTCTCCCATAATCCTGTCATGTGGACTCCTGTAGCTGTAAACTGTCTGGGTGGCTTATTGCAGAATCACAAAAAAACCCCATAAGAATTTTAATTTGAAGTGCAATTAACTGTAATCTGGCTATCACTGGTGTCAAATGAAGTAACCTTTAACCATCAAATCTAATTTTGAAAGTTTGAGGTTACGTCACAGGAATTTTTATCACCCTCAGCTTTTTGCTTGAGTTGCTTTAGTAGAAGTGTGTTTGGATTTTTTTAATGGCAAAGAGGAAAGATGAACTGGTAGAGATTTATCACAAGCTTGTATGGCATTGCAGTGATCCTGCCTATACCCCCCATCATAGAATCATCATCATAGAATCTTTGGGTTGGAAGGGACCTTTTAAGGTCATCTAGTCCAACCCCCCCTGCAGTGAGCAGGGACACCTTCAACTAGATCAGGTTGCTCAGAGCCCCATCCAACCTGACCTGGAATGTTACCAGTGATGGGGCATCTACCACTTCTCTGGGCAACCTGTGCCACTGTTTTCACTATCCTCATTGGGAAAAATGTCTTCCTTTGTATAGTTGAAATCTGCCCTCTTCTAATTTAAAACCATCACCCCTTGTCCTATTGCTACAGGCCCTGCTCAAAAGTCTGTCCCCATCTTTCTTATAGGCCCCCTTTAAGTACTGGGAGGCTACGGTAAGGTCTCCCTGGAGCCTCCTCTTCTCCAGGCTGAACAATGACAACTCTGTCAGCCTTTCCTTGCAGGAGAGGTGTTCCATCACTCAGATCATTTTTGTGGCCCTCCTCTGAACCCACTCCAACAGGTCCGTGTCTTTCTTGTGCTGAGGGCCCCAGAGCTGGATGCAGTACTGCAGGTGGGGTCTCACCAGAGCAGAGCAGAGGGGCAGAATCCCCTCCTTAGACCTGCTGGCCACACTTCTTTTGATGCAGCCCAGGATATGGCTGGCCTTCTGGGCTGCGAGCACACATTGCCAGCTCATCTCCAGCTTTCCATCCACCAGTACTCCCAGGTCCTTCTTGGTAGGGCTGCTCTCAATCCTTTATCCCCCAGCCTGTACTGATGCTGGGGCTTGCCC